GTCCTTCCTATTTGGGATTAAAATTTTCTTTTGTCTTGTGCGTCATGACCATGGGTCGTCGGACTGCTAAGACAAAGTTGTCTTTCTTGAAGATCCTTTGTTTGACCTTTTTGTTGTAGGCTTTTGAGATTCGAGCTTGGTATAACTCAATCTGTTGCTAGGTTTCGAGCCGCTTATCATCTAACGCTTCCAGCTCTTGAAGGCATTAGTTGATGTTGTTCTTTATCGGTCATTCCGGTTGTAAGAGCAATTCTTAGGGATGGGATCTGAATTTCCAATGATAATACGACTTCGCATCCGTACACCAAAGAGAAGGGAGTAGCTTTCATCAGGGTTCTCACCGTTATGCGGTAGGCCCATAGATATTCGCCAAGTTTTTCGTCCCAGTCACGTCGACTTTTGGAAATAAACTTTTTAAGAAGCTTTACAATGATTTTGTTGAAGGATTCTGCCAGACCATTATTTGGCGGGTAATATGCCATTAATACTATACTTTGGATTCTGAACTTGTCACAAAATCTCTGAAAGTCGTGGCTGACAAATTGTGTTCCATTATCATGGACAATTTGTCTCGGTACGCCAAAGTGGTAAATGACATGATGTTTGATAAACTTGATCACGTTTGAAGTCTTGACTTCTTTCAAAGGAATTGTTTCTGCCATTTTGGAGAAGTAACTGGTTGCTGCTAAGATAAACCGATGTTCTTTGGATGTTAGCAGAGAGATGGGTCTAATGATATCCATTCCCCACATCTCGAATGGCCAAGATGGAGATGTTGGGTGCAAATTCCCTAGAGCTTGATGAATGAAATCACCATGGATTTGACATGCATGACATCGTTAAGCATAATCTACAGCGTCTGCAAATATTTTTGGCCAATAATAGCCAAGTCTTCAGAGTCGATCCCCTAACTTAGCTCCGGGTTGATGAGCTCCGCACATTCCATCGTGAGCTTCTTTAAGAGCTTCTTGCGCTTATTTTCTGGAAAGGCAGTAAAGTAGAACCCCGTCATGCGATTTTCGATATAACGTTTGAGAAACCACGTTGTAATAGAATCAAAGGTCCTTCCATTTGACAGCGGTCGATTCTTTGCAATCATCAGGTAATATGCCATACAAGACATAGTCGATGAACGGAATTCTCCAGTCCCTCGGTTCGAGATCGATAGAAGTTTCATAGACAATCTCTGCTGTTGTATCTTCTGAATAATCTTCTAAAGGGAATTTGGGGTGATACAAGTCACGACCCTCAATGAATATTGTCGTTTCCGCCTTCGGCGGTAATGCCAACGAAGTTACCAGTGAGGCTAAAGCGTCCGCATAGGCGTTTTGGATCCGCGGAATGTATCCGATAAAGAAGCCTTCAAACTTTTAAGCTAACTTTAGCGCTTCGAAGTGATATTGAACTAAATCCTCATTACGCACTTCATATTCTCCCCGGGCTTGATTTATAATGAGTTGAGAATCACCGTAAGCCTCGAGATATCTGATGTTGAGTTCCTCGGCCAATTGCATCCCTAATAGCAAAGCATTATACTCTGCTATATTATTGGTGCAGGGCTCGGTTAAGGAAAATCCTCTTGGGATCACGAGACTATTTGGGGATACGAGCACTACCCCCATGCCAGCTGTGATTCCTCCATCAAGCCTTGCTCTAGACGCACCGTCGAAGAACAATTTCCATACTTGCATGACTTCTTAAGTTACGCAAGCTTCTGCAACCTTATCTGGTAAATCTTTGTATAATTTGGAAGAATCGGATACAGGATGATCATCTAAGAAATCTGCTAGAGCTTGGCCTTTAATGGCCTTCTGAGACATGAATTGCATGGACTATTGCGAAAGAAGTATCACCTATTTTGTGAGGCGGCAGTTCAACGAGGAAGGTTTCGTCATGAGTACCCTCACGGGATTTACCTTAGAAATGACATGGATCGTTTGTCCGACTAAGTAGTGTCGCATTTTTTAGACAACGAACACGAAGGCAAGGCATTCTTTTTCTACCAAATTGTACCGATGTTTAGCACCAATCATGGTTCTACTGAGGTAGTAGATTGTCTGCTCATGATATTGATCATTGTTCTAGGCTAGTAAAGCCCCAAGAGAATGGTCCATGGCTCTCACATATAACAAGAATGGTTTTTCTGATATTAGGGCCACTAAGATGGGTGGTTGTGTGAGGTATCATTTGAACTCCTCAATCGCCTTTTGGCAATCTTCATCCCAAACGAATGAAACTCTTTTCTTCATTAATTTGGTGAAGGGCTGGCAGCGTCCCAAAAGATTTGATATGAATCTCCGGATATAATCCAATCTACCTTGCAAGCCCCTGGGTTCTTTGATGTTCTTCGGAGGTGATATTTTTTGGATGGCACAGACCTTTTCTGGATCGAGGGAAATCCCTTTGGACATGACTATAAATCCAAGGAATTTATCGCTGGATATCCCTAGGAAGGATTTAGTCGGATTCATCTTTAGTTGATGTGCTCGCATGATGTCGAACATCATTTTCGGATCTGAGAGATGATCGCCTTTCTTATGACTTTTTACCACGATATCATCCACGTAACACTCTACCCTTTTGCGTAGATGTTCATGAAAAATCATATTCATGGCGTGCTAATATGATGCACTAGCGTTTCACTTGAGGAACGCGAAGGTCGTGTTTTGATTGAACAACGCGGGTTTGAGGTCCGCGTTATGTTTGTAAAACGCTCTCTTGAGGGTCGTGTTTTGGTTGTGCAACGCAACCCTGAGGTCCGCGTTTTAATTGTGAAACACTCCCTTGAGGGTCGCATTCATCCTGACTTACGCGAGACTCATGCTTGTGCACATAAACGCGAGACTCGCATTCTAAAGCAGAAACGCGGGGCTCATGTTGAGGCTCATAAACGCGGAGGTCATGTTGATTGAGGGATCTGCTTTCTCAGAGCTATGCTCATCGTAGGGATCTCCTCTTTCATCGAGCAGCGTTCTACTTAGCCTGTCTCAAGGCTTTTGCAACGTCACTATTTGTATTGATCAAGTTTGCGGCCGCAATGGGTCTCTTGTGACCTGATACCCATTGTTTAGGCACGGGCGTAGAATCTTCTACTCGATTGACTAGTTTAGCTGAAGCTGAGTCTTCTTCTTCAGAGGAGAGGCTGTCCAAGCAGTCTAGTCTGAGGGAGAGATCCCCCTTTGGTGAGTCAGGCATAATTGGAGATTTGGTCTCCTCAGAGACTTTACGGATCTTGCACATAGCCTTGGGGCTAAGGGATCCGGAAGAGAGCAATTCTTCATAGTTGGCTTGATCAAATTCCACCATCAGAGTTTCGACCGTCTTTCCAGCGAGGTTGATGTCGAATTGCGTCACCACTTCTTCATCGGTGAAAAAGCTAGTCCCTAGCGGAGTCGCCATCTTTTGTTTACAGGAAAATTATAAGAAAATTAAGAATAAAATTTTTATTAATCTTCCTAACTGACTTAAGGAAAGAATGAATACAATCTCTCGATGTAACCTCTCTCTAACTGACATAGAAAAAGAAATTACAATTTTCACTTATCGGTTTCCCGATTTACAAAAGAGAGAAGGAATCGATAGAGATCATTCCCTTTGTTTAAACTTGGGTTCTTCTTGGTAGCGATGGGAGTTTGAATCTTTATCCCGTTGATGATCCGAACACTTTACTTCGTGGAATGTTAGTCTATTCCTCTTGATTTGACGTCGAGAAGAACTTACGATGCAAGTTTAAAACTCTTAACGAGTTTAAGTACTCTAAACGAGTTTTAGAACTCTGTAAAAGAGTTAAATTCAGAAAGGAAATTAATCCTTTTTAACTTAACCAAAAATGGTTCACAAGCCAAAAGCAAAAGCTCCAATAAAAGCTCTTAATAATGCTCCACAAAGGATGCTAAAATTCTCTCAATTTCTCTCCTTTCTTTTTTTGGCCGAGCTAATTTTCCAGCTATTTATAAGGGTTTAAGGGGTGTAATCAAACCCCTTAAATCGCTCCTTATTAGTGGCTTAGTGCCCTCATTTCGTGCAAAACGGTTTTGAAACCGTTTAGAACGTGTTTGAATCAGTCAAACGTGAGATTCGTGTTCTAGAAACGACCCTCGCGTTTAGAATTAAAAACACGGTGGTGAGCTCCGCGTTTTGAGCTTGGAACGCGGTGGCGACCTCCACGTTTTGATCTTGGAATGCGATGGCAACCTCCGCGTTTTGAACTTGGAATGCGGTGATGACCTCCGTGTTTTAATTTGAAGAGATCATCATCTTGTAACCTCTTCTGTTAGAGTGTTGCAAGTATTGTCATCTTGTAATTCCGTCTTTTGGCTCTTTGAGATGTGAGAGTCGTCAGTTCGTAACTCTCATTTGTTGTTGCGAAAGTTATCAGATTGTAACTTCCATCATTAGTGTTTTGTGGGGATTAGATATCTGCAGTGATTTGTAGACAGCTTACAGGAGTATAAAATGCTTGTTTATATTTCTACGGCTATAATTTCGAAGAAATGACTGTCACTTAATTACAATTCTATTGAGAAAAACGTTCTAGTGTCATTAATTAAACAAAATGAGAAAATGCTCCGTCCGTCAGTATGAGCAATTCTATAGAGGAGAACGTTCAAGTGTCATTAATTAAACAAAATGAGAAAATGCTCTGTCCGTCCTCATGAGCAAGGTATGTGACCACCGTCGTTATCTCGTAAAAACAAGCAATAGAATGAAGGCTGAACTTTGGGCTAAATATGTGGCTACTGAAATTTACCTAGCCATTAGATACATGTATTACCTTCACCAATGACTTTCTCACTGTGAGCATATTTCAACATAAAATTGTGCATTAGAACTACGCTGAGAATAATTTGACAGTAGGCGTAACGATAGCTGAAAGAAACAATATGAACATCATTTTTAACAGTGTAGAATACGCACAGGTAGCGTTAAACCCATACGGTATATACACAAACATGCACTGCAATTTGCATCTACTTTTTAACAACAACATCCAATGTCAATGATTGATTAGCACAATAGAAAATCTTATTAATTGTTCCCAGGTTTAATTATGAGAAATGTAAGAAATACAAAAAAGAAGGAATAGTGAGGAGGAAAACAGAATATTTACATCATTTCTCCATCTTATATAATCGCATAAAGATGCCGTGCTCTTCACTAATCTCATCATACAGAAATCGACGTTCACCTTCATTAAATAAAAATAGGACAGTTTTACATTAATCAGGTTTCTTCCTCACCACTAGCAGCTTCGTCAAGGGCAAGAGCTAGGCTCTCGGCGAGGCTCAACTTGGACTTGGCACCGCCGGTCTCAAACGCTTTCCCCGCCCTCTTAGGTTCTGCTATTGATTTCGGAAGCCAAGAAGACCCTGATCCGTTTCTAGGGACAGGGACAAGTATGCCAACAATAGGCTTCAACTTTCGCCATGGATCTTTCATCATAGCTTTATAGAAATGGTGCGGATCATATGGTGAAGAACAATTAATGTGACGGAACCCACGGCCTCTTCCGCCCCTAAACCGTGACTGGTTTCCTCTTCCAGAGTTAGAATGTGGACTTGGGCTGCCTCCATGTCTGAAGCTGGGATTTGGAAGAAGACCACCACGGGACGAGTAATTGGGACGGGAAGAATTAGGGGTTGGAGCATGACTGGGTGGTGTTCCCCTGAAATTTCCAGGGAAAGGGCTCTGGAACGGGATTGGGCTTCGCCATGGACTCTGATCAGGAGACTGGCTTGTTTGAAATTGGAGGCCAGGAGGAGAGGCAGCAGCTACATTATAGTTCATTGGTCCATCTGAAATAGCATAAGATAATTAGTCATAGTGAGTGAAAGATGTTTGTGTTTCGGTAACACAAAATCAGTAGGTTCATATTTCAAAGCAAGAAAGCTGATCTAGTATGCGTTCTGAAACTTGGGGTATCATAAATTATAACTGCACTCCAAATATTTAGGTAATTATCTTCATCCAAGACTTTATCTTAACAAAAATTAGGTCAGATATAAGTCTAACAAAAATTTGCAATGCCATGTTATGGGGTACAACTTGTTGAGCTAAATATGCGAGAGGCTCTTCATGGAAGCTAAGAAGCAATGTTGCATGTATCGGAAGTAGGAAATATATATATACATGTGCAAATAGATCACTCAAGTCCATGGAAAGAAGGGGAAAAAAGACAATTCCCTTAAAATGATGGTAAGAAAATATACTGTTGCTTGTTTTGCAAGGAAGCAAATGTCAGTTCTCTAGGGGTGATAAACGGTTTGGATAAATCCGAACCAAACGCAACCATATCCGATAATGATGCGGATACAGTAGCCAAAATCTAAAACCGACCAGATACGGTTTTGGTTTCGGATATGATTTTTCCTCTTTACTCAGAAATGGTTCCGAATAGCGGATACGGTTCGGATATCCGGATGTTCATTTTAAGAAAAAAATATGAATAACAATATAATGCACTTGCCAGGATTTGAACTTTGGTCACCAATAGTGTTGTAAATAGCAGCCAATAGCGGGGCTATAGCGGCGCGAATAGCGGTCGCGGCCCTTCAGCGCTACGCGTAGGGGTTTCGCGGCTGGCTTAAGCTGAAAAATCCGCTATTCATTCGAATAGCGCGTAAAAGCGGATTTTCGCGGGTTAAAAGCGGTTTTCGCGATTAAAAGCGGATTTTCGCGGTTAAAAGCGGATTTTTTTTGTTAAAAGCGGCTAAACCCGCTAAACCCGCTATCACACATATTATGATGCTATATTTCTTGAATTTCTTCATAGTTTCATTCATACAACAAGCTTATTAATTGTTATTTATTGATAATACAAGAAATTTACAACTAATTGAATTTTTAGATTCTTTTTATGAATTTTCTTATTATTTAGGATATTTAAATATATTTAAATTTGACCGCTATTTGACTGTGTGCTATTTGTAGCGATTTCGCCGCAATAGCCCGATATAGCCTTAGCGGTACCTCGCTGCGACACGCCGCGATCCGCTATCAGCAACCTTGGTCACCAAGTTATAAAGCATTTAACCTGACCACTGGGCTACAAACAAACCCATTATATATTTGATTCGTATATTACTTAACATAGTTTGAGTTTTTCCCACTACCCTCCACCGTGTCACTAAAATCCTGGTGCTACAAGCCATATGAGACTGTTATAGTGTAGGCACTTGCTCAAGGTATAGGTTAGATAAGTGATTCCATCTGTATGTACTATCTTATTCTATGTCATTGTACATTTTTTCGTCATATTCGATATATGTCTGAGTCATATACATTTTCTAAATATCTGATTTGCATCTATGATCATAACCGTATCCGATTCTCTAATATCCGAACCGTATCCGTTTCTGTCTACCGCGGATATGATCTTGACTTTTTCTAACCGACACATATCTGTATCTATTTTTAGAAAGCGGATATGGGATATGGTAAGCGTCATATCTGAACCATATCCGAACCGAATGCACCCCTACAGTTCTCCCATGATAAATACAGAAAAAGGTTTTAACAATTTATAAGATGTAAATGAGATGGTGTCACATATATGAAAATCGTGTCCTAGAAATCTAATACAACAAACCAACTCCATACTAACAGAAACCTCACGCGTACGCACGCATAAGGTAATTTAGTTCGCTGCACAGAGAGGAGCATGGCACTTCTATTCTAAATTTGATAGCGATATAAATCTAATGCTGTTTTTTTCATGATGATGAAATTGTCAGTTCTCAGCTGAAAGAAGCAATAAAGCATTTCTATTATAAATTTGATGATGATTAAAAACTAACGCTGCTTGTTTGTGGTGATGAAAATGTCAGTTATCAATGGTAATTATAGGAAGACACTTCACATTTTATAACATGATAAAGGTGATGGTTTCACAAAAACATTATCACAGCTCTGCAATACTTAAATCAAACAAGTACATCTGAAATAGAGTAATTAAGTCAATGAAAGAAAGAAAAAGGCATTCCCATATTAAATTTAGATGGCACCACCAGTCTATTATTGCTTGTTCACAATGATGCACATGTCAGTACTAAATAATCAACATAGGAAGGCATTTTAATATTTTATATATAGTAACG